CATTTTAAGGGGGGGGCTACACCTGAAGGCTATCTCGCTTATTACTGGACCGAACTTTACCACATTTCACACATATAACAAGCATGGTAAGAAGTCTTAAAATCGGCAATCAAATTTGAGAAAAAGTTTTGCTTCCATGGATACGGCGGCCATATTGGATTTTGTTGACATGTCTTACGTAATGAATACCGCACTTATCGCTCATGGAAATTGATTTTTTTTTTTCATGCGTGAACAACATTAGATCTAAAAATTTGTCTGTTGTTGTTTTTTCTAAACGAATAAGAACATTTTCAATGAATTTTTTCCTCAGGTACCACTCAAGTTTGCAAAAAATCCTCGAAAATCCACACTCCAGACACCACCAACAAAAATCTACTCAAAATATCAAAAATTCAACAAACAAATTTTTAGTATTACATCTTCTCTTCATTCTGTGAAAATTTCATGAAGATTGGATGAAAAATGGTGGAGTTATTCAAAAAAGTATAGAGAAAAGTTGCGTTTTGAGAAAACGGCCGATAAAGAAAAATAAAATACTGACTTTATGAGGAAACGGCGGTGACAAACATGCCCGGTATGGGAAAAAAATACGATTTTTGGGGGTTCTTATGCGATGAAATAGTTGTAGGACAGGCTGAAGAAGCTAAAAATGCCTACAGCTCAATTTCCATAATTTTTAGCCGAATTGTGACTTTGGGGGTGTAGCGTCCCCCCCCCCCCCCCTTAAAAAACACAACAATCAAAAGAAACAAGCCCCGAAGAGAAACCAGCTTGTTGGTTTGAGTAAAGAGAAGCACATGGGCACAGCAACGGTCATAAATGGTGAAGAGAAGAAGCAGGATAGATAGACAGAATCATCAGCAAGAAAGTTTGTTTGTTTGCTTGTTTGAGTTAAAGAGAGTCACATTTTAAAAAACCCAGTCATTTTCAGCTGGAAAGCAAACGAGAAAGACAGAGACAACACAAAGCAAGAAAAGAAGTAGGTAGGATCTGCCAGTGGCATTCTCTGGCAGCCTGTTCAAGAAACATACAAAGAAACATAATAATAGATTAAAAACAATACATGTGTATGTAGAAAAACTAGACAGGAAGGTGTTTGGTTTGTCCATTTTGATAAGTCAATTGAAGAGAAACACGACACAATACCAGCCATGATGTACAGCTGCGAAGAAGAAAGACAGACAGAAAAAAAAAAGACGGACAGACCTCATCTTTTAAAAAACGATCTACCACCAGTAGTGGCGCCCTTCCACCACACAAAAAGTCCTTGAAGAATGGGTTTTTTTACAAAATGGTCAGAAAAAGTGAAATGCAGAAATGGAAGTGAAAATACACTGGCACGGTTTAGAAAAAAAGGAACTTCAATAAGTCTATATTGTAAATGCATTGGCAGGTATTACTTAAAAATCGAACAAGACTTCAAATATTCAAAAGGTCACCAAGACAGTGACAGAGACAGCAGTTGCTTTTCTTTCTGAGGCAAAGATTTAAAGATACACCACAGGATATTCTACAACTCTACAACTTACTACAAGCCTCTGGGGGCAGAGAAAAACAGAGCAACTCGAGCAAAATAGAAGCAAGTTGATGATGTCACTGCAAGACTTTCCCACTTCCGTGTCTTTCTTTAAACACAGAAAAGAAAGAGGATCGAGTACATGTATTGGGTTTAGTAAAGTTCTCCGCAACAAGACACAAAATCAGAGTCAGCAGGAAAAACTTGTCATAAAATTTGGTTTCAAAAACTGGTCACAGATAAACCCAGAACAAAACTAGAACAAAACAAGGAAACAGAACAGAAATAAAATAAAAATGAAATAAAATCAAGTGTATAACATTTTTAATCAGTGTACTGAACCACTCATCCAAACCCCAGAAAGTAAATGAACGAATATACAAAATCAAAAAGTAAATGAACGAGTATACAAAACCAAAAAGTAAAACAGTAAAATAACCAAACAGCTTCCAGCCGAAGGATGGAGACTCTGCTCCTACCTAATCTAACAAGTATTGCAAAACAGATTGTTAACTTGAGCACAAAAGTTGTGTTCAAGACTTGAGATTCACTCTCTAAAGCTATATGATGGGGGTGGAGGGAGATAAAGCTCATTACAAATGCAACAGTGCTGCATCTATAGCTGTTTCTAAAACGGAGCAGTAGGCAATACCTGGTTTTCTGAACAATACAATTGTTGCCAAGAAAAATGAGTAACTCCAAATATCTTCTAACTTTACCTGTAAAGCAGGATCAAATTGAGCTACCCATTTTTCTTGCGACAGGAACAATTGCCTGAACCTGTCCTCGCTTTTCTCATCAACAGAAAGCCAGACACTCAAGCAAGCTGTACCCTACTTTACCAAGTTCTCTACATATTACAAAGGACAGATTCACTGTATTGCTAAAATTAGTTACTCGCAAAATGATATTTGGGATATTCAATAAGAAAAACAGATGCTCTCACAATATTCAAAAACCCAAATAAACAGGTGTGTGTGAGCAGAATCACAAGCAGAGTGACAGAGCGTCATTGTCACAACACACAGGTTAACAAAGCGTTGGTCCGACTAACATCATTAGTCACATCCAAGGCAGCCTGACAGTGGAAATAAACCTGAACATAACACTTACAAATGCACTCAACTCAAAATGAAAGCTTACAAAATAGACTAAACAAATATAATAACACAACCATGAAAGTAAAAATTAGTTTAAGATATATTGCCTTTCAGGTTTTTTTCACCACAGTTCAAACACACTTCCCTTTCTCTTCCATAGCAAACCGGTTAAAAGTATGATAACATTTCTCACAGCATATCATTGTGAGCCTTTGTAGCCACACACATAAGTAAAACTCTCTAGTTAAGTCAGAACAGGGCCGGTGAGATAAAGATATGTTTCCCTCACAGCAGTATAGACTGACAAACAAGCGTTATCACTGAAGGCAAACATACTTCACAGAAGACAACAATAAATATAATTTGGTCGACCTTTAAACGTACATTTTTTCATACATGATAATGCTCTAGAGCTAAAAAAGGACAACACAGATATAAACAAATTGTTAAAATTTGAACAAAATTACTTCAACGCCATCATCATCCATGATTTATTTATAGAGACACCAGCCATCCATGCCTTGGTGCTGTTTTAGCCTCTTACTTCAATGCCCTCATTAAATGCAAATGCAGCCAGCTAGTCATGTGACTTAGACTAATCATGGGACTTAGACTACAAGTGTTCCAGGCCAATAATGAGATTTAGACTGAGAGCGTTCCAGGCTAATCATAAGATTTAGAAAAGAAAGTCATGTCATTTAGAAAGACTAACCATGTGATTTCAATGAAAACTCAAAATTGAGATTTGGACACCCAATTAATGTGGTGTTGACTTCCAGAGTCTAGCACCTGCCGTACGTTTAAGACTAGTGGCATCCCGGCCTTATCAGGTGACACAGACAGATTATTTACATGATTTTGATTACAACTATCTAGACGCATCCTAAGATAACTTTCCAAGGCTAAACAGATGATTTTGATAGACAGTACAAGTACCCCAGGCTGTTTCAAAGACTTATGGGATTTAGACAGGCTAAACAAGTGGAACAGACTACCAGGAGTCCAAGACAAAGAATGGGCACCCACTCACTTGACAAGCTGAGGAACACAGACCGAGAAGTCAGCCCCTACCCACACTGCCGTCTGTGTTCCTCCACTGGGCACACAGCTCATGCAGTGTGTTTCCGCTGTGCTCTCATCCCACACTTCACACGTCGGCAAAATCTCATTGCAGTGTTCTACAGCAGTGACCTCTACAGTTGAGCCAGTAATAACATCTGATCCTTTAGCATAATATATCAGAATAATATATAAACAAAAATGCTGGAAAATATTTAAATAAAAATCATTCTGAGCAAATTCATGGCATTATTTTTTAAATAAATTCGTAACAAAATATGAATCTGTAATATTCCCACTTAAGTTAATCCACACACTTAGTCACTATCAATAAAACCATATTCAATGTTAACACAGGGCAAACAAACTGGAACATAGGCCAAAGAGAAGAGGAGAACAAAGTAGCAATCAAACAACAGATTCAACTCTTCACCCCC